ATAACATTTGAAGTAATAAAAAAGAAAAGTGCTACAAATCAAGGTTTGGAATGTATCAGGTATCCCCTCCATGGAATAGTTTTCTACCTCCTCAAGTTGAGGCATGGGAATTGATACTGAAAAACACATCCCCATCGTGGTATGTTTTGTTACCAATGTCTGTAAATAAAATTATAACCAAACCTGTCAGAGGTACAGCTGTCCTTAGAATGATAAGGTGTGGTGTACTTGTGTGAGAAGTAGGGTTAGACAGAATAAGAAAGCAAGTTCGTAAAGAGCAAAGTTTACATGTGCTTTTATATAATGTGTAGACTATTTATCTTAACTAAGAAATATTCATGAAAATTTCATGGTTTTTGTATTTGAATTTCCTGATGAATCTTAATTCCCAAGTTAATGATTGAATAAGCTCATAGTGAGTTCTATAACAATAAAATATTCGTAGAAATTACCCTATCGCATTGTTAAATATTTGAGTTTAACAACTTTAACAAAATATTACAATAACAATTATAATTATGAATGATGGTTGTTATATTAAGAAGGGGGTACAAATGAAAATATTTGAACTTGACAGCTTTAACAAAATATTACAATAACAATTATAATTATGAATGATGGTTGTTATATTAAGAAGGGGTACAAATGAAAATATTTGAACTTAACAACTTTAACAAAATATTACAATAACAATTATAATTATGAATGATGGTTGTTATATTAAGAAGGGGTTACAAATGAAAATATTTGAACTTGACAACTTTAACAAAATATTACAATAACAATTATAATTATGAATGATGGTTGTTATATTAAGAAGGGGTACAAATGAAAATATTTGAACTTGACAACTTTAACAAAATATTACAATAACAATTATAATTATGAATGATGGTTGTTATATTAAGAAGGGGTACAAATGAAAATATTTGAACTTAACAACTTTAACAAAATATTACAATAACAATTATAATTATGAATGATGGTTGTTATATTAAGAAGGGGGTACAAATGAAAATATTTGAGCTTAACAACTTTAACAAAATATTACAATAACAATTATAATTATGAATGATGGTTGTTATATTAAGAAGGGGGTACAAATGAAAATATTTGAACTTGACAACTTTAACAAAATATTACAATAACAATTATAATTATGAATGATGGTTGTTATATTAAGAAGGGGGTACAAATGAAAATATTTGAACTTGACAACTTTAACAAAATATTACAATAACAATTATAATTATGAATGATGGTTGTTATATTAAGAAGGGGGTACAAATGAAAATATTTGAGCTTAACAACTTTAACAAAATATTACAATAACAATTATAATTATGAATGATGGTTGTTATATTAAGAAGGGGGTACAAATGAAAATATTTGAGCTTAACAACTTTAACAAAATATTACAATAACAATTATAATTATGAATGATGGTTGTTATATTAAGAAGGGGGTACAAATGAAAATATTTGAACTTAACAACTTTTTCATTTCACAGAAATTGCCGTTAAACATTTCTATCTTCCCTTCTTTCTTTTTTCATGTTCTCACTGAAACCAAGTAGTGTCATTCCTCTCTTTTCACATGATCATTATTTAAGAGGTATTGGCAGGAGATGTTAGACATTTCTATCTTTCCTTCTTTCTTTGTTTCATTCATTTAACACTGAAACCAAGTAGCAACTCTGATAATTGTTTTGTTTTTCCATCCAATCGTCTATTATTCATGAGGTATTAGCAAGAGACATTAATTGAATAATCTTATGGCGTGTTCTAATATAAAATATCTCTAGAAGTTACCCTATCACATCATTAAATATTTGAGTTTAACAACTGTAAAAAAATATTGTTGGTCATTATTTTAAGAGGTAAAGGGGTACAAATGAAATGATTTGAAATTGACAAATTTTTCCATTTCACTGAAACAGACATTAAATGCATCCATCTTTTGTTTCTTTTTTTATTTATTTTCTTACTATAAATTAAGTAGTATCTCTGATATGTCTTTTCTGTCTTTCCATGCAATAAAAGCGGATCAGTCCATTACTTATGAGCTATTGGCAGGGCATAACGGTCGTGCTAACTAAGGGAAGGACAGCAAAAATATTAGAGGCTCTGAAAGAATGGATCATATTTGGTATCTGTCAAAAAAAACAAACCTTTCACATTTTCTGGATTTTAATGTTTTTCTTTGTTCCTTTCATCTTTCAGAACTTTGGTAGTCACATGATAACCAGATTATTTATTTATTATTATTGCCACTGCAATGTACAATGAAATTGGACATTGCAGTCCCCAGGTGCACCATCACATGCACACACACACCAAAACACATAGCATTGAATGAAGAAAATGCGCTTGAAATACATTGAAAATTGTCAGTGTGCAGCAGCATTCATTTTATGCAGGGCCCAAGGATAAAAGGTGTCCCTCAAGTGCTTTCTCCTAGAACTAATAGAACAAAAACATCATCCTGAGGGTAACGGTTCAAACAACGGTACTGTAACGGTTATCTTTTCTGTTACAAGAATTAGAAATGTATTCCAAAGAGGGCAATGAGTTACCGATTATTTTCTGGGCAATATCTATAATCCTTTGGAATGTTTGCTTCTCTGCTGCTGAGAAACTGGTATACTAAACAGTGATGGTTGAAAATATTGTTTTACAGGGAAACATTCAATGTATGGTTGATATCTATATCTGTTATTTTGATGAAAGATTTGCCTCTCAGGCAATTTCACTGCTGACAAAGCATCAGTCCCCTAACCTATTTGAGGTAGTTGAACAATCACATGTAATGCAGCCATAACAACGGTGGATGTACTTAGAGTCTAAGCTCTTTAGTTCTATCTGGCTGGTTTTTGAATTCAGTGTTGTCCTTCACTATTTACCCTACCAATCTGCCTTATTATTTATGAGAGTTTATGAATTCTTTTCTAGACTGGATTCCACCCAAGGCAAGAGATCCCAATCTGTTCTGCTATCTTACCTATGGCTGCAGATAGATGTATTCATGCCTTTTCCAAGGGTGCTAGTGCGAAGTGAATGAAACAGACTTGGTCAGAATTTGAACTTGGCACAATGATTCTGCTTTCTGGGCTGATAATTCGTATGCTATCAAAACATCTGCATGCACACAGACACACATGTGCAGTTTCCTTTAAACACAACTTTAAGTAAGACTTACCAAATAAAAACATGTGGCAGATGTTGATATTTGAATATTTTGCTAACAGTGGGGATAAATATGCAAATGTAAGCAAAATCAACAATATTTTCTTTCTTGCTAATTTACCTGCAGGTCATTTTTTTTTTTTCTTTAAATAATTCATATTTTCTATCTCATCTAACATTTCTGTCTGAATTTCTAGGATGAGGAGCTATCACTATTTACGTTATTTACATTTGGAAAATTGTCCTCTTCTTTGTTGTTGTTATCACAATGTTTCAGTCATTGTGCCCTCCAGCCTTTTTCAGATGTATAATGATCTGGGTAAACTACAGGCAATTTTGAACAGAACCCTTCCTTTATTTAATTTACAGGAGTAAACTTCTCATTCTACTGTCCATGTCTAGGTATATCTTGTTTAGTTATTATTTTTAGTATTGCTCAGTTATTGCTCACACTGATAGTAGCCTAGTGGATTAAAGCATTGATTTGTGAATTTAGTGACATAGTAATTGTGATTCAATCCCTAGGCAGGGCAGTATGTACTTTCACTTAGGAAAACAGTGGCAACAGGGCCTGTAATAACTGAGCAGTAGTAAAACTAAGAACTAAACGAGCAATAGAGCAAGAACAGTCAACTCCCGTAGATGAAATAAAGAAAGGGTTCAGTTCATAATTCCCTGTAGTTTAACTCAGACATAAGAGTCCCATGTGGGCATGTCTATCAAAACCAGTTATATCTTGGTTTTCCCTTTTAGCAGCAGAACAGCTTGGCATGTTCAGATACAGGCCTCTCTGCAACTGGTCTTGATTCAGGTTTCTGCCAGTGTCTCCTGTCAATAAAAGTGACTGGAAAAACCAGCAGTCAGCAGTTTCCATAGGCATTTTGCTCCTCTTCTGCTGTATCTTCTGAGGCATGGTTATTTTGTTACCTCTTGTCTCATTTCCTTTCTCTGCCCCTTCCTGGGTATGACGATAAACTAAATCCACACCCTGAGTAAGACGACAAACTACATCCAGCAGCAAGACCTCTGATCAAGAGGTTTTGAGGAGCAGAGAACCACTTCTTATTTGCTGGTGTTCCCAGGTCCACCCTGACCTGGGATGGTAGCACATGTTAGGGTCCCAGCTATGGGCAAATAGTTAACCTGAAACTGGGGTAAAAATGGGTTTTAATACCAGGAATACTTTGCAAAAAAAAAAAAAAAAATTATCAGCAATAAATTTTTGAAGAAAATAAACTATTACCAGCAATACATTTTTGAAAAAAAAATATTACCAACAATACGTTTTTGAAAAAATATTACTAGCAATACATTTTTGGAAAAAAAATATTACCAACAATACGTTTTTGAAAAAATATTACTAGCAATACATTTTTGAAAAAATATTACTAGCAATACATTTTTGGAAAAAAAATATTATCAGCTATACATTTTTGAAGGAAAAAATATTACCAGAAATAGATTTTTGACAAAACAAAATATTACCAGCAATTAAAAATTTGTTGGCCTTAAATAGCCCATTGAGGTTGATATGCCGTAAAACACAACAAATCAAACCAAACTCTGCCTATTGCACCCACAGTGACTGGGGGAGCTATCATTTAAGTATTTCTCCTAACCTCAATACACCCTTGTTGTAGTTTACAACATCAGATTGATATGCACCTAATGAAGATTGCTGGGCACAATGACCAAAGCGTTGTGATAATAACAACAACAAAGATGAAAATAATAGTCTGAATATAGTCTATAATCATCTAACATTATTCCAATGATAAAATCTTTTCCTTGTATAGCTATCAATATTAACAACTTATGGCTATATCACATTGAAACACTGGTTCTCGTATAATCACTGAAGTTAAGCTACATCACGCTTCATCAGTATCTAGATGGGTGATCACTTGGGAATGCCCGGTGCTGTAAGCTAGGATGTGTGGTTAGTATAATAGATAATGGCTCAGTTCCAATTCCAGTCAGATACATTATATTCACTTATGCACAAATACTCCTAGGAAAGGTATAAATCTACCTGAACTCCCCTAGCTATGGGTTAATTAGTAGGACTTGTATCAGTAAATCCTTATGGTCTCCCAAAAAATTCTTACAATCTAAAACTATTTTCAGACATTAAATAACCTGCATTGGGTTGATAATCCATAAAAAACCAATCAGTCAATCAACCAATATTAATCTTAAAATGGTGGGGAAAAGTCTAAAGGGTAATTATGAGTATTTTTACTTGTATACAAAAACTATAAGAATGGTATTTTTATCTTTCAGATTAAAAAATCTGAAAAAGGTAGACATCTTGAGATCAGAATTAAAAACAAACCTGTATGTGTATGTTTTTATTTTTATATTAAAACCGTTAATATCTGTTTGCTAGGTTGGTGTCTTCTGGTTGGAATGAAAGAACAAACTGCATGTCTTTTTTGTTTTATATTAAAGCCACAGATCTCTGCATATATATATGTATGTATGTATGTATATATGTATGTGTGTGTATATATATATATATATATATATATATATATATTACAACAAAATCAAAAATCCAAACCTCATATGGAGGATAGACCTATTTCAACCTTTACTATATATATATATATATATATATATATATTCTTTTTCTAAATCATTTCACCACAAGCAAAGCAATAAAGCCACTAAGACACAAGGGGTTACTGAGTGTTAGAGAAATTGACAAAAAAACATTTTGAGAAAAACTTCCTTCTGCTAGATCTAACCTTCATGGTTAGTATCTACCATGTCACTTAAATTTCAGCAAACCTCCTACATTCCCTCTATGGAAATGACTCCCACCCCCATCACTACAATCTTAACCTTTTCAAGTCTAGGGTGAATGTTTATCTCTCTCTCCTGTCTGTATAAACTACCCCTTAACATAACCTGCTACCATGAGTGCCCTCTATGAGTTTTTTGTTTTTAATCATTTCATCCCAAGCAAGGCAGTAAAACCACTAAGACACAAAAAAAAAATAAAAAAAATAAAAGCACTATTAAGGAGAGAGAAAACAATAAAAGAATAGGAATTAAAAAGATAGAAAATAATGATTGGCATTGCATTTAAATTTTTCAAGTTTAAAGTTGACTGGAAAGCAAGAAGCCAGAAGAGAGTTCCGCCAGCAAAAGTGCGATAGAATAAACTGTTAGCATAGAACTTATGGTTACATTGAGCCATTTCAAGTGTAAAATGATGAGATCTTGCCGCCAATCTAGTACTGTGCTTAAATTTATAAAGTCTAGATATTATAGAGGTAAGTTCATCAGAGCAGAAGCATATTCCCTGTTATGTTCTCTACCAGCCCACATACTGCCTTTTGCCACTATTGCGTTTGTTCTTTCATTCTAACCAGATGATGCCAACTTAGCAAACAGACATTAACAGTTTTAATAAAAATAAAAACATATTTCTCTTTCATTTTGATCTGAAGACGCCTACCTAACTACTTAACAAAAGTGAAATGCATAAAAGATTTTCCATTTTGTCTCATTTCTCCAAAATGAGTATATATATATATATATATATATATATATATATATAATCTCAATTAGCCAAGGTCCATTTGATAACTTTGGTGATCAGTTTCTGGTAGTCACTTACATAAATATGCTAACTACATCGTTAACCTGATTCTTTTGTGTCTTTTAAACTATCCAAAATAATGATTTCACAATCATTTCATATTTTTCTCTTTTTGTCTATTCACCCACGCTATCAACCCAATTCTTTCAATAAAAAACTTTGAAATTTTCCTATCCCCGCAATTACATTTTCCTTTGTTTGATGACATGAAAGGCTTTTCTCAAATCTAAATTACTCCATTTTAAATGTTTATGTACATTTTATTTTTTTATTTTATATACATTTTATTATTTTACTTAAAAATAGATAATTTGTATAAGTATGACAAGTTAGTTTACGAGATAGGCATAGTGGTAGAAATTGTAGGTTCATGAAATCTATTATTATGTGCAACATTTGGCTTGCTGGTTTGCACTTGAAGCTAGAAGAAATACTAAAGCTTACCTATTACTGAGTAAGCAAAGTACGTCAAGAATGTAGATGGTACTTAGGATAGGGAGTCCCGAAACATGAGATGAGTGGCTGAATTTTTCTCAGGAAATTTGTGTGAATTTGTGTGAAATTATCAAACAAGCCATTGGATAAGAAAGTCTGGTCAATTCAGGATATTAATTCTGCCATTGTTGTTCAGGAAATTTAATTCAACTTTTTCTCTTAAAATAAGTTAATTAGTAAACAGTCAATACATTGCTAATGCTTTTCATAAAAATGTCTTGTAAATGGTAAAATATTGCCACTTGATTTTTTTGTACTCTCTTTCACCAGTCCAATATTGAAACCCCATGAGACACAATTATTTTAAATATTTATATACATTTTCCTTGTGGTTTGCCTAATTTCTACAAAATCAATGAATTTAATTCACTTTATTTATTGTTCAATTTTTATTGTTGTCATAAAAACAATTAGTAGATTTACATTTGACCATTTTCCTTAAGTGAAATAATTTCAAACAGTAGTGAAAGCCATATTTTCATTCAGCAAACATGGACAAACCTACCCACAATAACGCCTAGTGTCAAAAGGATGTTTTTTCCCTTGATACTGTTTTTTTAACTACCTTCACTTTTCGTCAATGTCTATTGTTTTAAAAAGCAATGATTAGAATTGAAATAAAACCTAAACACATGATGAAATTGAATTTGTACATTTTTTGTTCTTAAACATCACCCACTTCCTTGTCAAAGCACTTAATTCAGTGGTGAATCTTAATCACATATATTGAACATTATACAGTGAAAATTTCAAGCTACAAACTTATTGATCTATACACGTTTTCCATCTTTAATGTTTTTTTTTTTTTTTTAATGAATGCTAATATGACTGCAGTGACAATAATCAAAAGTGATAATTTAGAATAATATCATTACGCTTAACACTCCTACTGCCATCTAATGACAGACACAGAACATACTTTTTTGACCAACCCATTGAAACCATTTTTCCTCAAACAGATTTTAAACAGATTTTTAAAAGAGTTTAAAAAATTAATATAATAATAATAAAAAAATAGATTTAATTTTTCGGGTTAATATGAATGTGAACTTGTGACCTTATTAGATCCTTGGGTGTCTGGTTGAGTAATTTCTTTAAATGATCTTTTTTCAGGGTACTTAGTTTTACTTGGCAGTGCTCATCTATTTTCCAAGTAACACGTGATGAGTATACTGGATTACATAATACTAGCAGTAGAAAATTACCCCTGACCTGATCTATTGTTAACCACCCTGGATAATACTACCTATAGCTAAACAACTCCAACCACCCTGCTACTTAATTGAAGTTAGGTGGTAGGGAGAAGTAGATTCATGCCTTTTCCAATTAGCATTCAGAACTACTACAAAGTGAATGGATATTGTTTTGACCAGGGTTTGAATTTTGTTTGCCGATTCCATTTTCTAGAATAAAATCATATTCTAATTGTTCTGAATAGTTATTTATTTTGGATATACATTACACCCTGCCAATAAATTATAAATAATGGATGGTTCTGTTTTGTTTGTGAGGAAAGATGGAAAGATGTATCAGAGATGCTGTTTGGTTTCAGTGAGAAAAATAAAGAAAGGAAGAAAGAAAAAAAGGTGATAGTGCTCTCATGTGTTTAATGTCTGCTTCAGTGAAATGGAGAAACTTTTAATTTGTACCCTCTTACTTCTTTAAATGATTACCTGCATTCTTAATTATGATTGTTATTGCAATATTTTTTAAAGTTTTTAAGCCCAAATATTTAATGATGTGTATATACTGTATATATTTCCATGTATAAGATGATCTTTAAATCCCCAAAAATCATCCTTAAAAATTAAGGGTCATTTTATACTACAATTCTAAAAAAGAAACCTTAAATTCTGAGTGATGTTTATCAGTAGGTTAACCTTGGCCTCAGTGTGATAAATGATAGCGTGCATGAAAAGATTCACATTATCAAATAAACTAATAATAAAAGTAATAAAACCATTTCTACCTTATATATGACTGGCTTTATAATAAACTAGCAGTAGAGCCCGTATTGTTTAAGGTTGATGTCTTAATTAGTCTTTTTTTTTGTTTTTTTACAAATTGGTCAAACCCAAACTCAAACAAAAACATTGTTTTCAATTGTTATGAGTCTACCGATTGAATAGAATTTTATTATAAACAATTGACTTGTAATTTTTAAAGCATTCTGAATGTAAAAATAAAGAAAAAAGTATGCAAGACAATAAGAAACACTACCTGCCAAAAAAAAAAGTGAAGTTTTGTTGAAATCAGTTGAAAAATGTAGGAAATCCAATCCCATATATAAACGGACACACACACAAACAACCAACCTGGGTTTTATAATAAACATAACTTGATATGAGTTGTCCCCCTTCCATTAATGCCTCTTAATCGTGTTTTCAAATTGATTTCGTGCAAAAACAATTGTTTTTCCCATTTTTGGCACTGTCAGAACCACTGCAATGTAATTTTACATAGTCCTGTGAAGTTTTGTTGAAATTGGTTGAAAAATGTAGGAAATCCGATCCAATATATAAACGAATAGACACACACACACACACACACACACACACACAATAATAAGTATGATTACTTTATAATAAATTACCTATTCGATGAATAATTCCATATCAATGAAATTGACTTGTATCTATGTGAGCTTAGCTGAGAAAATGTAAACATCAAGTTAGGATTGTGTTCACAGCAATGGAATGTACTATTATCGTGCTGTTATTAGTGATTGTTGATGAAGTATAAGTAAATGGTTATCAGTACACCAAGCTGTTTGTAACTGTTTAAATATAGGAAAAGAAGTGAAGGAAGAAAAAGAATCAGTA